TGACCAGGGGAGGGGACACCGGCCGACCGGGCCCCGCCCTTCGCTGCAGGTGGGCCGGGCCCGCGGCGGGGCCGGCAGCGCTCGCTGCTCTTGGCTCGCGGCCGCGCCGGGCTCGCAGGGCTGGGCTCGGGCTGCGGGGCGGCGCCGGGACAGGAAGCGGAAAGCAGCAGCGCGGCGGCGGCGGCGGGGCTCTGCCTCTCAGGAGCCCAGCGCAGGCCGCAGAGCCGGGGCCGCCGAGAGCCACGACCGCGGGCCGCGGAGCCCGGGCGGCCGGCGCGGAGGTGAGTCCCGCGGGAGACCCAGCGCGGCGCGGCGGCGGCCCGGCGGACAGACCTTTGGCGGGGAGACGCCCCCACCTCGGACCCCGCGTGCCCCTGCGCCCTCCTCCCGCACTCGCCCCTCAGGACTTCGACCCCGGGTCGCCGGCTCCCGCCTCAGACGGGGAGCTCCCTCCCCTCCTGCGGAGCGCGCCGGGTCGAGCTTCCTCCGACTCCACTCTTCCCCGCGCAGTGCGCCCCTCCTGGCTCTGCCGTGCAGTCCCCGCCGCACCCCACTCCCTGGGGTCCCGGGGTGCCCTGCTCACGCCTCGGACGCCCGTCTCTCCCCTGCCTAGCCTTTGGGTGCCCCCCTCGGGTGCGCGTGCCGGGGCGGCGGGCAGGCCGGCAGGGAGTGGCCGAGCGTTGGAGGCACCGGGCGGCTGCAGCAGCCGTGCAGGGCGGGAGCCGGGCGCGCACCGGGGTTCCCACCCCCGGCGGGGCTCGACCCCGGCACCGCCTGGCCCTTCGCCAGGAACCGGGACAGAGCTGGTCTATGTGCACACCTCGCTCACAAAAAATTGAGCCGGCCCTGGAGGCCTGGAGGGCGAGTCCGGTTGCGCCTCGGAGAGAGCAACAGGCAGGTAGGAGTTTACTTTCAAAAACGCCGGGGTGGAGCCGAGGCGTCCGGCGGGTCCCTGACCAAGGTGTCCCTGCTGGAGGAAATCTCACCGCGCCGGGGCAGCCTTCGCCACCGGCAGGACTTCATTTCCTTCGCAGCCTTTGAACTGCCCAAGCATCGCGCCTGGAGAAGTGTGAAGCTTTATAAAAATTTAAACGCGTCCCTGGTGGCGGCAGGAGTGGGGCAGAGCCGCGGCCTGGCTGCTGGGTGATGAGCAGATGAGACTTGGAGTCGAGAAATCTGTTGCTCAGTTTTCACTTCTCCAAACCAGGTGTAAGGCCCACCCTGCGAAAGTGTCCTGAGCGCCCTTAGATGCTGGTTAGGAAGTATTGGAGCGCCTTATGTTGGTGATTGTGTGGCGGCCAGTGCATTTTGTTAAAACTCTTGCCCTGGCTTTGGTTAGAAATGAATGTATCTTAGACACTTAGTTCAAAAGCTAACAAACTGTGAAGAATCTGGCATTTTCACGGACATGTTTATAAATTTTACAGGGTTGCTGAGAAATATTATTACTTGTATCCCCAATCAACAATGATAATTAGCATTCTCCTTTCAGTGGGTGGGTTGAGCACACAGCTCCCAGGCTCTGTAAATGAGATGGCAGAAATTGCCTGAATACAGGGAGAGGTAATTAGCCATTTTCTGTAGCCACTAATTACAGAGTTTTTAGAGTTGAATTAAATCGATGTGATATAGTTGGGGCTTTGATTTGTGGGAGGAAACTGTGTCTTTTTCCAGTTCAAAGAAATAACACGCTTCACCTATCTATGAGCATTAAACATTCCCAAACGTTGCTGTCTCAATGTAATTAGTGAAAACACTCAGGGTGAAAGTTCACTGTTAACAATGTTGGCAGTGAGGCTTGCTTTCAACTTAATTTGTAAGTAAAATGGGAGAAGAATTTTGAGAGTGACATATTTGTAAAGACTACTTGCCAAGCCGTACATTCTTATTGTCATATGTATGAATTAACAGGACAAAACCATAAGGGAAATTTAAAGTTTCTTTACCAAGCAACGATTCCATGTCACCCTTTGTTGAAGGATAAATGTGCTGAATGAAGAAGGCATCCTCCCTGTTATCGTCCCCTTAACACACACACACACACACACACACACACACACCCCGTGCTTGCTATCCTAGGCTTTATCAGCTATTTGGGTGGGATGGCCCCTTATCACATTACGTTTTAATTGGAGGTCTCCACACTGGGGCTGTGAGCTCCTTAGGAGTTGGAACTCTTTTAGATTCATTTCTTTTCTCTTGAATGCTCCACAATGCTTGGGACACAGAACCTGTGAGTAGAAGTTGAAATTGCAAAATTCTTTATGGGGTTATATGTAGTTTGGGACAATTTATGATTGTTGCTTATACTCCTCTATATAAATAAACAATTCTGGTAATTGCTACAATGCTGTAAATTTTCTGTAGCTAAGAGCACAGGTTCTGGAGTTAGACTCTCATCGTTCAAGCCCTGGCTCCAGTGTGTCAGTCTGGTTTCCCTAACTAACATGTTTTCTTTTCCTTAAAGTCTTGTGATGAGGATTAAGTGAGACATTACATGTGAGTGAGTTAAAACAGCATCTAACACAGAGTAAACACTTGACAACCATAAACTGTCAGACTGTTACCATCATCTCTGTAAAGTCAGCTAGCTAGTTAGGGTCTTGCTGTATAGGGCATGTAATTCGGACATCATGCTATTCTATTTTCCTTAAGATGGACAAAATGAGGTGGGCTTGTGATTGGATGGTGTTTCTGTTCGCAGTATTGGTCCCTCTGAAGTTTGATGCAAGGATACATGTGGGTTCTGCTGTCTAGCAGTGTCCTTCTGAATCCCACTATAGAAAAGCAGTGATTAGACCCCATACCGTCAGATTTACAGAGGAGGCAGTACTCATAAGATCTATTTTTCTGAAGTTTGAGTATCCGGCAGGGGACGAGGGAGTCACTTGCAAACAAATATACATCACAGAGCTCCAGACATTTTAACAATTCACAGCTCTTCAGAAATCTGTGCCCAGCTGCTGGAGGTGTTTCAGGGTAATTAATGACTGGAGAGAGAAGTGATTCTGGCAAGGTGAGTTGAACTCATTGGTGAAACAAGTAAAACAAAGTAGACATTTTCTTTCCTTGTAAATAATAACCCAGAATCATTCATTTATAAGCTGTTGTAATAAAAGAATCACTGGGTTTGTCACAAATGCCATAAGCTCAGCGGATCCTCACACCAGTGACCTGCGTGACGTTTGATGGTTTATAGACAGAAGTTCAAAATGTTTTATAGATCTTGCCCTGCATCTCTGCCCCCTCCTTTCCAGCCCCAAGCCCCTCCAAATAAACCCACTAAGACACACACAGTTTTCTGTGGTCTCTCTGACATTTGCTTCCAACCTGGGGATGGTAAATAGAGGCCTGTAAGGAACAGAATAGAAATCACTTGTTGCTTAGCTATAGTTTATAGTAGTAGTTAAAGGTGGTAGCAGAGACCAGAAAAATGGTATATGTTGGGTACAAATGATACAGAAGTTATATGCCGTGCAACCCCTTCAGTTCTTCCTAACTGAACAAATTTCGTGTTAGTGAATACTGATAGTAGTTGACAGCTGTGAGTGCCTACCATGTGCTACGCACTGTTCTAGTAATTTTTATGAGTTTTCTCATTTAATGCCCACCACAGACCTATAATGTAAGTAAAATAAAATTTGTTGTTACAGTTAGGGAAACTGAGGCAATGAGCAGTTAAGTAACTTGCTCTGAGGTCAGACAGCTAAGTACTAGAGCCAGGATTTGAATACTCTTAACTCCACAATCTGGGCTTATTGCTACTCTCTAGAAGAATAGTTGACTCTAAACAAAATTATTTCAATTGTCACATTCCCCTTGAGTGCTATTTAATTAAAAATGGGTACCCCTAAGAAGAATGTTAGCTTCAAGACATAATATAAATAATAACTAATTGCATAAACCCTGTAGAATTCTATGTAATAATCAAATATTCAAAGTAATGTACACAGCGTATATAAGCATGGTTGTACCAGATGCCACTTTCCCTTGGAAATAGATCTACTGCAGAGGAAGCAAAATGTCTCTTTAAATTCAGTGTGTGTCTCTGTACCCCTTACAGAGTAACTTTCCAAACCAGAGTTCCCTTAATTACTTAATAGCTCTAGGCAGAGCTGTTGATGTTTTTATAATTTCCTTTTTGCAAAGGTTAGCTTATGTTTACCACTGTCATTATCATAACATATTATTTCCTTAATACGATTTGCTAAACACTGTGTTTTCGTTTTAAGTAGTAGGATTTTTATATGAGTGAACACAACTTGAGGGGAGAATTCTGTTTGAGGCTGCCAATCTTCATTTTGCTTCTAATAAAGGATGGTAAAGGAGGTTCTTTCTGACATTTTTGCCTAGGAAGTCCAGAGTTCAGGACACGGCAACTCAGAAACACCCTGTGTGCCTGTCTCCCAGGGTTGACCTTGCCTGTGTGTCATGCGGTTTGATGAGCCTGGCCCTGTCCTGATATTTGCCTCTAGCTCCAACCCAAGCAGTGCCAAGCAATGCACTCTGAAGGGGTGGGTGACGGGTGAGGTGGGATGCTCTTGAGCAGTGGCTAAAACAGACTGCTGCTGATTTTTGCTCAGTGTGTCTGCAGTATGACCTCTGCCCCTGAGTAGGGCTGCCATGCGAGCCAGTAGGATAGCTCTGGTTTTTGATAGTTCTGGTATCATTGCTCTATCTAATAGCTGTATCTTTTTTTTTTTTTTTTAACCTCTAAAACTAAGGATTTAAAATAGATAATTTCTTTCTTTTTTTTTTTTTTTTTGAGATCGAGTTTTACTCTTGTTGCCCAAGTTGGAGTGTAATGGCGCCAATCTGATCTCGGCTCACTGCAACCCCCGCCTCCTGAGTTCAAATGATTCTCATGTCTCAGCCTCCCAAGTAGCTGGGATTACAGGCATGTGCCACCATGCCCAGCTAATTTTGTATTTGTAGTAGAGCAGGGTTTTCTCCATGTTGGTCAGGCTGGTCTCGAATTCCCCACCTCAGGTGATCTGCCCGCCTTGGCCTCCTAAAGTGCTGGGATTACAGGTGTGAGACACCACGCCCGGCCTAAAATAATTTCTAAAGTTTCTTCCACAGTGAATCTATGGCCTCAAGTCCTAAAATCTGCCACAAAACCCTGCATTCAGCAGACATTTATACGGTACCCATAATGTCCTAGGAGCTGGAGAGACAGACAGTCATGAAAGTACCTCTGCCCTCGTGGAGCTTACAGCCTGTAGAGGGACTAGACAGTAAGTGATCACACAAACAAATGTGTAACTGGAAGTTGGATAGAAAGGAAAAGTACCAGGTGCTAGAGAAGAGCCTGATTGAGATTGGAGCATCAGGAAAGGCCTCTTGAAAGGAGCAGTATTTAAGCTGAGGAGTGACGAGTAGGAATTTGGCAAAACAGGGCGAGTAAAAGGTGAGTACCAACAGATATACTGGGCTCTGCCAAAGCCCTAAGGCTCCACCTTAAAGGAGCTGGAGCTGGAGGAAGAGGAGGGAGCTGGAGCACTGGGCATGACACTGCATACCAAATGAAAGATTTTGTATTGTATTTAAAGTGCAATAGGACACATGGAAAGGTTTTAAACAGGGAAGTAAAGTCTGCACTGTAATTTAAAAGGTCATTCTGGCTGCTGTCCAACCTGGGCCAAACACAATATGAGTCATGTGAGGGATCAGTATGATAGACAGTTCCAGGTTCTGGGAGCCATATTCCCACCTTTATATGACTGTCCCATTCATGCTAGACAGCCTATCAGTTTATTACCCTGGGAACCTGACTCCTTTTCATTGCTTTATTATCTTTTCTGATAAGGGATTCCTTCTGCCCTTATCATGAGTCTTGTTAATTTCTTGTGTATGCAAGGGAACTATCTCCTAGATATATCATTGCGGTGATAAGCTTCAGGACATCCTTTTCTATTAAGTCCATTGAAGTTCTTACCTTGGCTCAGACTCTGTTAAAATGAGTTCACTTTGGATTTTATTAGTTTGCCTTTTATTGCATCTCCTTAATCCTCACTCAGATCTTGGATAGGATAAGAGTTGGTAACTATTAGAAATGGTATGACTTAGAAGGGGCTTGAGCTGTGTAGACTGGATGGGGTGAGGACATCTGGAGGCTTTGTAGTGGTCAACCCCCGTGTAGGTGGAGCCTGGAGGAAGTGGGTGGCTGTGAATTAGTAGAATGAGAAGGGGAGGATCAGAGAGGGTGTTGAAGGCGGCACAGGATTGGATTCACAGGATAAGGGTATTGCTTTAGTGAGAAATTGGGAAGAACAGGGCAGGATACTGGAGAACACCTATGAGAGGGGTGATGGTATTCCCAAGGGGAGCAAGAGGAATCTCAGTAGGAAATGTACACTTGGGATTTAGGCTTTCAGTAAGTATTTGTTGGATACCTGTTGTATTCAAAATATCCTGGGTGGAGACAGAGCTGCTGTCTTCAGGAGCTTCTGCCATAGTAAATCTGTGGATGGAGAAGAACGAGGAGAGTTTTGAACGTCAAGGGATAAGGTAATGAGGGGAGAGGAGAGGGAGTGTTAGAGAAGTAGTAACAAACACGCCATCACATTGGAGGCTGGCCAGCTGCAGAGAAGCCCTGCCAGGGCAGGCAGCATGCATTTGTCATTACTGTGCCCTAGCATTGCTTGGCATGGTCTTGTAGCTGCCACTTAATCTGGAGGTGGATGGACTAATAAATGGAATAAGCACTGGGGGAGGAGGACAAGGATGCTGCTTGCCCACAGCGATCCCTGGCCAACTTTGAGTTGTTTCAGTGGAGTGCTGTGGATGGGGATTTGGAGTGACAATGGACAAGGAGGGAGTGACAGCATGTGTAGACCACTCCTTTGGTAAGTACAGGCAGGAATCATGGGAAGGAAACCGGACTAGGGTTGTTGGTCGAGTCAGATAAAGACTTTCCGGAGGGCAGTTGGGACCCATGGTTTCCTTTGAGGGACAGGCCTGGAGTTGTCTTAATGATTGGCCACAAGTTTTCAATGAGGACAAGGAATGAAGTCCTCGGGCAGAGGGGAAAGGAATAGAACGTGGGTTACCATGTGCCGGAGACTTCACCTTTGCAGTTTCATTTAATCCTCGCAAGAACCCTGGGAAGAGAGAATATTAAATGACCTCATTTTATGGGGCAGGGTTGGACAAGCTCAGAAAGGCAAACATCTGCCTCCTGATGTCACAGCTAGGAAGCACCCAGCTGGATCTGCCCAGATCTGCGGGGCCTGGGCCGCCTGCCTCTGAGACACTGCAGCAGCATTTAGCAAAAAGTACCCAGGAGTTGAGATGGAATGGGGAACCCAGAGTTATGGGTTGCAAGGCAGAAAGAGTGTAGGAGTTGTGAAGGGTTAATTACGAATCTACAAGAGAGAGAATTTACTGTTCTGGACCAGGGAACTGGACATTAGAATCTGCAGATCAGCAGAGAGCTGGTGAGGGGCTTTCAGTGAGGATCTCAATTCATGCAGGGTTAGGTATCTTGGATGTACCTTCTAATGTTGATGTCTACCTTTTATGAAGCAGGTGAGAAAACAGCAAAGCCCAGGGCAGCAAGGAAGTGAGACTGAGGTGTTGAAAGCTGGTTGAAACTGCTGGTGAAAATGGTGGAGACAGTAGGGAGAAAAAAGATGACTCAGCTCTTGAAGTCTTCTAGGAAAGTAGGGTAAGTCCAGGAGAAAGACAGCATTTAAAAAGGCCTGCTGTGTTTGTTTTCACATTTAAACTTTACAGTTACGTCCCTCCCCCTCCCCCGATAATAGGCTGCCTTGCTTCCTTTTTATGGATTGGGAAATCTCTGAGGCTCCAGGGAGAAACTGCTTTACCCAGGTTTATAGCTAGTTAATAGGCTAACTAGCAGGGCTGAGATGCGAGCTCTCTTGTGTCTCAGTGAGCCCATAGGCGAGCCTTGTGGCAGGAAGACCAGCACAGAAACTCTGTCTGCCCTGCTTCTTTCCAAGTCTTTCTCTCATTAGACAGAGAGACAGAGGAACAGGAGTTTCAGACGCCTTAAAGGGAGTTGTGATAGCCACTAACTTTCATTTACCTAGTACATCTGGAGCTCTTGCTGGGTGCCTCAAAGTTGTTAGCTCATTTGGTCTTCACGGCAACCCAGATATTTGCATTTTACAGTTACTTGTTCAAATAGGTTTACTAATTTTGACTGGGGCCTGATAGCTCATAAGTGAGTAAAACCCTAGGTTAGACCCGCCTCTGGAAACTTTATCTGCCTATATTTTCAGATCAATCTGTGAGGTCGGTGGCTGGTTGGTTTAACCCGTTTAACAGATGAGGAAACTGAGGCATAAGAAGGCAAGTGACTTATCCCAGGTTGTACTACACAGTGGCTGAGCTCAGACTAGAACTCAGGTTTCCCCAGGGCTAGCCTTGGGCTCTTGATGGCAGAGGAGAAGTGAAATCATAAGTCAGGGCATCAGGGACAAAGGAGGCTGGCCCTGGGTGGCAGACCTTGGAAGTGATTGCACCTGACTTCCAGGAGGAATGAATGGTAAGGGCAAATGCACCCTAACTGGGATTGGAGGCTCTGGGGGCTGTGGTGGTGGTGTATGGCGATTTGGGCTGACCTGATTCCCACCACACTTCTGTGTTGTTGCTGGGGGTGGGGGGGTGGTCAGGAAAACCTGGTCTCCCGCCAGGAGGGTTAAGGAATGGCATTTACAGCGCCTTTGTTTTTTCTTCACACTTACCTCACGGGCTGTGTTTGCAGTTTCAGCTTCCAGCGCTGGAAGAAGGAACCCTGTGGAGCAGAGACTAGCTCTGGGGTGAGGGGTGCAGAGAGAGACAACTTGTGGATCTCAGTTTTCTAGAAGTAAAAATTTAGCATGTGGGAGCTCAGGAATGTACTTGGAAATGTTTCCAATTTATTTTTATTACAAAACCATATCAAATGAAAATGTGGGAAAAAACCCAGGAGCCTGCAAATAATATATTACCTGCTTTCATTTTCTGTGTCTCCTTTTAAAAATCTTTGTCCTTACATAAGCAATTTTGTGTGACTAACTGTAATGTTGATTCACTGTGTATCAACAGTACTGTATCCTGCTTTTAAAATTTGTCTTTATAAGAGTTTCCATTTCTTATAATAATCATTTTAAACATATGCGATACTTTTCTAGTGGATGAACCATGTTTTCCTTACCTATTCCTTTAATCTGGGGGGCATTCGGATTGTAGCATTTTACTATTTATAGACAATGAGACGACAATAATTTTTCTTTTAAAAAGAAATTAGTTTCCTAAGATAAATTCTCAGAAATTTGGATCTTGGATCAAAAAGATGGAAGATCTTTTTTTTTTTTTTTAATTGGCATTTGGAAATTACGACCGAATCCCTTAAAAGCAACTTCACTGGGTATTGTTTTTATAACCAGCAAACTGGCAGTGGGGGGCTGGGCATAGTGTGGAGGGCCGTAGATATGGAAAGCCATCTCCTAAAGCCAGCAAGCAGGGGTGAGGTTGTCCTGAGGACGTGGACAAGTGCCTCCCATTTTCCTGCTGCTGTGATGGGGGTTCAGCCTGCTCAGCACCCATCCTGTCTCCCTCCCACACACCTGGGGAAGCTGGTTGCTGCATGGGCGGAGCATTTAGAGTTCAGTTGCCTCACCCTCCCTCTCTCCTCCATGTTCCATGAGAGAGACCCCAGAGAGGAGGTGTGGTTTTGTCACTTATCTTTCAGCCCCATTGGTTGGCTTTGAAGATTGATGTCATGTTTTTTCCCTCTTTCTCAGAATTTGTTCCTGTTGAAGAGTGGCTCCTCTTCTAATTTCCAGACTCCTCGAGATTTTACGAGTCTGGGTGAAATTCTCTACCTCTAAGGAGATACAGTACCTACTCCTTCCTCAAGGGCAAGCCCTCCATTGCTATGGATACCGAATCCACTTATTCTGGATATTCTTACTATTCAAGTCATTCGAAAAAGTCTCACAGACAAGGGTATGTAAGTTGTTCATTATTCCACTTTACCATTTGGGGAAACCTACAGGTTGGTGGGGTTCTCTGCACTCACTTTTCACTGACTTGGTGCTGGAGGTTCGGTCTATTGGTGCGTGAGAAGCTGAGCTCTGAGAGCATTTAACATCCTTGGGAGTAACTGTGCTACCAGTTTACGTTTCATAGCCGTCGTTAGAGTTGATGACTGTAATTTCTCACAATTGATTTTAAATTAAAGTTTCTTCCTGCCGTGGAAATGTTTTTCATTTCTAGGTATTTCTTATAGGTATCGGCTCTCCTGAAAGCTTTATGAAGAATGTAAATGGAAGATTTAAAAAGTGTTCATTGCTTGTTGCTTTTCACCTGAAATTGTTGACTCATTGTCCATTATGCCTTTGTCCTGAGGCTTATTTAGTGAACTCGTGGGATTGGCCTGGCATCTTATTCCTCTTAGACTAATCTTAAGGTGAACAAGCCTGGGTTTTGAAAACATTGTCCTGGGTGATATTGGTCAGACTCCCCCTTTTCTGCAAGCTACACAGGTATGCACTGGTATTCTTAGGGCCTGCTGTGTTACTGACCTGTAGACGTTTGCTAAGTAGAAGAGCAAATGAATGAATAAAGAAATCAGTGAACAGATAGATGGTGCTTGCCAGTTAGGATTGTACTTGGTGAAATTGCAGTGCTGCCATTTACTTACCCTTTTCATCTGTGAAATGGGTACAGTAGTTCTCTCCTACAGGGCTGTTGAGAGGATTAAATGAGATTATGCATGTAAAGCATGTAACACAGTACAGGTTGGAGGTCACTTGCCAGTGGTTGGATTAATGCTGAAGGCCTTGGCATTTCAGCACTGTGTTCCAAGGTACCAGCTGGCTCCAGTCCAGATGGCCAGCTCTGCACTGATTTGGGAACAGTGATTGTAGTGGTTTTTCCCTGACTGAGCTGTTCTCCATATAAGCAGCCGAATGCAGAGTGAGATTTTGTTCTGTAAAACAGCAGTGAGCTACATACATCTAATTATTTACAAGCCCATCTGGGTCACTCACATAGAAAGAGGCTTGGGAGGGTATTCTCCAAGCTGCCAGGAGTGGTCATTCACAGGGGAGGCTTGGCAGAAGCTGAAGACTAATGGGAACTTTCATTTATGTTTTTGTACTTATTCAGTTGTTTTACAAGTGTATATTTTGTAATTTTTAGAAATGAATGGAATAGAGTATAAAGGAAAGGTTCTCAAAGATATTTGATGACATGAGAACATGTTCATGAGACCATGTTATAAGAAACAGAATTCAAAACGTTGTATGCCGTAATAGTTACATATATCTGTGATGAGTGCTCACCTAGTGACCATGCCTATCTGAGTATAGGACGATGGTTGTATTTTCTTTTTAACTTTCCTAAATTTTTATGTATTGCTCTTATAAAAATTTGGGGAAAACATATCAGGGAGCTTGTGCTGGAGTCCAGGTAAGGCTTTCAAATCAGGATGAGAAACAGAAGGAGCTCTGGGGCAGGTGCCGCTGGATGGGGCCTGGGGTGACATGGCAGAGTCCAACTCCTGAGACAGTCAGAAACCCTCTGGCCATAACAATTTAATCATACATTTCAGCTGGTGGGTAAACTTATCAGATTTAGTTATGAAATACCAGAAATGGCTGTTTTAAAATACCAGTTTTTAGCCCTACCAATTCCCTTGTCAATGCCAGGCTTCCCTCTGGGTACTTGGGTAAATAAAGTAGGTTGGCTTGCAGTATTCTTTGTGGGAACCATCTCTGGCCTCTTTTGTCTACACTCAAGCTCTGACTTTCACGCTTCGGGGCCCATTGCTACGCTCTGCTATTTCCTTAGGCCTCTTGGGGTCCCCAGAAATTGATATTCCAATGCCCTTGTGGTGACTCAAAGAGACTGTAACTTCCAATTAAAACAACATGCAGAACTTTTAATGCATTCTTGGACCCATGTGGAAAGTACTTGGCAAATGTTAATACAAGCTGAGACTTTTAATCAATTATGCAAAAAATGTTCCTGGATATTTACTCTGAGAAAAGCTCTGAGAGAGGAGATGAGCCTCAGAGATTTGTAGTGCACTCCATGGGTTCTTTAAAAACGCCACGACCACCTACCGGTGGCGGATTATCAGCTGACGGCAGCACGGGGCACAGCAGCTGTGGGCTGAGGGGTGCCATCCCTGGATAGCATGGGCTGTGGTGTACTTTGCTGGGGCCTAAAGAAAGTTTAGCAGTAGGGGTACCCTCCACAGGCTGAGAGCAGGCCCCAGGCCCAGCCAAGAGTGTTCTGTCCCAGGAGTGTCCCTGTGAAGGCTGCCCTGCTCAGAGGTTTGTTGGGAGCCTGAATGGAAGGGTAGGAAGGTGCGGGGGTTTGGGGGAACGGGAACCATGCTCTTTGGTAATTTTAGTCAGACTCCAACTCAAGGAAGAATAATGAAATGCACCACACTTGATACGCCTGATGACACCGTGATCATCTTAGAAGACTGGCCAGGTTCCAAGCAGATGACAAGTGACTCTTTTCTAACAAAGAGGTCAGTGGCCTGGTTTTGTGATGCTTGCAGTCTCCAGAGGGTGTCCAGTTAACTTGCTGGGAGAATAGTGTGGACTCTTGCTGGCCCCACCTAACCTTTGGGCTTGGAGCACAAGTTCCCTGATTTAAACACAGCAGCTGCCAGCCATGTTATGCTTTGGGGGTGTCTGCTAGGCCCCTCATAGCCATTACCTTGTCTTCTCACAGCAGTCCCAGAATGATGGGAGATCGTAGCCCCATTTACAGGTGATGACATGCAGGCACAGAGGGCAAAGCTATTTGTTCTAAACTTAACAAAGTTAGTAGGTGCCCTCAGCAGATTTTGGGCCCACCTTGTTTCTTTAGAAGGGAAATGCTACTTTTGGAAAGGGAAATGAAATGTGACTCATGTGACTAATGTGCTGAAATACACAAAAAGGGGGCTGTTGGGGCAGTGGAGGAATCAGTGCCTTTGTTCCAAGGCTGCTTCAGAGTCTGTGTGCCCTGTGCCCAGCCCTCCTACCCCCGTCACAGCCAAGAGGAAGCAGCCAGCCGGGCCCCAGCAGAGAGAAAGGGCAGGTCGTGGGTGGTGGGAGAGAAGGAAAGGGAGGAGTAACCGGTGGGGCCAGCTTTCCCCAAATAGAAATAGGCAAACAACAGAAACAGGACTAAATAATCTTCCCAGGAAATGCTGACTGTAAGTGGGAACGGTGGTAATTACAGGGGTTCTGGCTGGAACGAGGAGGGTGACAGCAGCCCCCAAGGGCTTAGCTCTAGAACCACCTAAACAGAGGCATTTGCTCACACACGTGCAGTGCAGACACATGCCCGGCTGCCTACATGCCACCACTTGCTCTTCCTGCCCCCTCACACACGCAGATAGACTTATCTTTACTCATACAGCAGATGTTGCATGCAGACAGATTCAGAGATAAAGATGTAAAGAAAATCCCTCATAGTTGACACAGCAGCCCAGCAAAGGCACAGGAGTGATCCAGACCACTGAGGCAGAGTTGGAAAAACACGCAAGTGTACATGTGTTTGCAACACACCTCCCTGTGACTTGGCAGCCTGTTTACTCCCCTGCTCTCCCATTTCCATACTCGTAGACACCATGAACAGATTGTCTTCATTATTGGGGAACCCTCTCTACACAGCACTTGGCCAACCTAGGTTTCCCCTGGAGTTATGGCATCTGGTGCTGCAGGGGTGAGCATTTGAGTACATGTTACAGTGAGGTGGCCACACTGTGCCTCGCAGTTCTGCAGACTGGAAAGCACTGAATGGCAGGATTTTTGTAGAGTGTCACTATGAAGTCCTGGCTTGGCTCAGAGACTTCTTAGAGCAGTAATTGGGGACCAGTGATTTCTGCTAAAGTTTCTCTAATTTTCTTTTTTTTATTATTTTTTTTAATTTATTTTTTTAAGACGGAGTTTCACTCTTGTTACCCAGGCTGGAGTGCAATGGTGCGATCTCGGCTCACCGCAACCTCCGCCTCCTGGGTTCAGGCAATTCTCCTGCCTCAGCCTCCTGAGTACCTGGGATTACAGGCACGCGTCACCATGCCCAGCTAATTTTTTGTATTTTTAGTAGAGACGGGGTTTCACCATGTTGACCAGGATGGTCTCGATCTCTTGGCCTCGTGATCCACCCGCCTCGGCCTCCCGAAGTGCTGGGATTACAGGCTTGAGCCACTGCGCCCGGCTAAAGTTTCTCTAATTTTCTAAAAATTTTTTTAAATAAAAGCTGTATGGCAGGTTCTGCTCCCTTGGTAGCATGACCAGTACCTGGCGCAGCGCTGGTGCTGAGCTGACGGGAAGTGCCTCACGTTCACCTCTCACCTGACAGTGGGTGAAAGGCTTTCGGCTCAGGGTGTCCCTCAGTCATGACTGCACACTGTCCTGAGCCTTTCTCCCAAATTCATCCACTTCATACTATTTTAATAAAGCAGCACTGTGTATCGTAACATTGTGCAGCTGAGCATTACACTCATGGCTCCCATTATCGAGTCCCTGCTGTATACAGGGCATTTCACAAAGAGGCTGACTTCCAAGCAGTCACCCAACAATCTCCTTCCAGGAGCATTTGGCAAGAGAATCTTGGGGCAAGTTTCCTTTACCACCTGCAGTCACCTCGGATGCTGGAGAAAATTTTGACTTCTGCTATCTCCCTTCCAGAAAATTATTTGAGAGTGAGGCCAACAAATCTGCACTTGAATCCATAACCAGGGCAGTTTTTCTGTACACTTTTTTAAGTTTAAGAAGTGTTTAAAGTTTAAGACACACTGGTTAGGGTTTTGGGCTCTGGAGAATGAGAAACCTTCCTTGGGTTATCAGACAATAAGTGCTTCTCTGGTTTCCCTCCAGTGTTACCAGGGGAATTGTTGGACAGTTATTTCACATTTGGGTGCTCCTGGGCCCTTTAAGAGCCAGGCTGGGAGGGCTGGTGATGGGAGCCCTGGCTGGTGAGAGAGGCCGTTTCCACCCCCGGGTGACTCCCCACCTGCTTTCTGCCCTGGTAGGGTTCAGGCTCCGGGAATTGGCACTCAGTGAAAGAATTTTGATTTCCAGTGGAATTTGTGCTGTCACAAGACTTGACCCATGGGACCAGTGAATAGATAGATGGGTTAGGTGAGCATGTGACTTGGCTGGTGGCCGAGGGAGTGATAAATGTGAGAGCAGTTGGGGGAAGTGGAAATGGATTAAGATAGACGAGGGGCTGTGTCCATCTGGCCGAAGGCAGGGCCGGGTGAAGCAGCCATTCTAGACTTATTCTGAGGTTAGTTCTAAAACTGACCAAACACCAGGAAAGTCTCTTCCAAATTGCTTATTGTTTCTCACAGTGGGTGCCTTTTGAAGTGATTGTATTTGACAGCCCAGAGTGTTGGGCACACAGCTTTGTGCTATCTAAGGTCACAGTCCAATTGTGACTCCTAGCAGTAGCTTCAAAGCCATATTTCATAGCTCCAGTAGTTTTCAAGTATAAGGGTGTGAGAATGAGCTTGAGGAATATTTATGCCATGAAATCTTTGTGCACCATAGCGGGTTTGAATAGAAGTGGTGGCAACAGACCCGAATTCAGATCTGCCACTTACTGTAATACTACTTTGGGAAGTAACTTAAACTCTGTGAGCCTCAGTTTCCTTGTCTGTAAAATGAAGACAATAATATTATTTTCATAGGATTATTATTAGGATTGAATGAAATTAATATAGTGAAGCATTCAGGAAAGTGTTCTATAAGTTCTATAAAATTGTTTACCCAGAAATACATCTAACAATGCCAATTACCTCACATCCAGGGCAGTTTTTCTGTACACTTTTTTAAGTTTAAGAAGTGTTTAAAGTTTAAGACACACTGGTTAGGGTTTTGGGCTCTGGAGAATGGTGAGGTAGGATGTGAGGTAATTGGCATTGTTAGATGTATCTCTGGGTAAACAACCAAATTCTCTGCTTATTTGGCTGTTTCCCTAGCTGCCTTGTTAAAACAAAATACCTGAGTTGAGCAGAACACCTCTATTTTTAGAGTCTAACTTAGCAGTTGTATTAGTCTGTTCTTGCATCGCCATAAAGAGATACCTGGCTGGGTGCGGTGGCTCACGCCTGTAATCCCAGCACTTTGGGAGGATGAGGTGGACTGATCACGAGGTCAGGAGATCGAGACCATCCTGGCCAACATGGTGAAACTCCGTCTCTACTAAAAATATAAAAAAATTAGCTAGGCATGCTGATGTGTGCCTGTAATCCCAACTACGTGGGAGGCTGAGGCACGAGAATTGCTTGAACCAGGGAGTTAAGCTGAGATCGCCCCACTGCACTCCAGCCTGGTGACAGAGCAAGACTCTGTCATAAAAAAAAAAAAAAGAAAAGAAAAGAAATACTGAGACCTTCATAAAGAAATGAGGTTTAGGCCGGGCGCAGTGGCTCAAGCCTGTAATCCCAGCACTTTGGGAGGCCGAGGTGGGTGGATCACGAGGTCAAGAGATCGAGACCATCTTGGTCAACACGGTGAAACCCCGTCTCTACTAAAAATACAAAAAATTAGCTGGGCATGGTGGCGCGTGCCTGTAATCCCAGCTATTCAGGAGGCTGAGGCAGGAGAATTGCCTGAACCCAGGAGGCGGAGGTTGCGGTGAGCCGAGATCACGCCATTGCACTCCAGCCTGGGTAACAAGGCGAAACTCTGTCCCAAAAAAAAAAAAAAAGAAAAGAAATGAGGTTTAACTGGCTCATGGGTCCGCGGCGGGCTTTATAGGAAGCATGGTACAGACATCTGCCTGGCTTCTAGAGAGGCCTCAGGAAGCTTAAAGTTGTGGCAGAAGACGAGGGAGAGCAGGCACATCACATGGCGAAAGCGGGAGCAAGAGAGAGTTGGGAGAGGAGGTGCCACACACTTTTAAAAAATCAGATCTCGCAAGAACTCTCTCACTATTGTGAAGATAGCACCAAGCCATGAGGGGTTCATCACCATGATCCAGATACCTCCCACCAGGCCTCACCTCCAGCACTGGGGGTTACAATTCAGCGTGAGATTTGGGTGGGGACACCCAAATCAGCAATAGATTGTAATTATAAGTTGTGCTCTAGGGATAGAGTTGTCATCAAAAGATTCCCTTGGCCATGGGAGCCTCCTGGCTCTTTGAAGGAATCAATCAGTGCTTATCCCAGGGAGATAATGATAAGGCTGAAGTTTAACAAGAAATCTGCATTTTCTTAAGCTAAGTAGTAGGTTAACAGAAGATATGCTGTGTGTTAATAGTTCTACTTACACCTCTTTCTCCGGGGTATATACACTCTGTGTCACCAAGTGAAGACACCATTCTTTGACATTGGCTAATAGTAATAGCAATCACAGCCACTGTGTGTTAGCACTTACTCCACATCCTTGTACTGAGCACTACTTACGTTAGGTGGTGGTGTTGTCACCATTTCATACATAAAGAAACTGAGGTTTTCAGAGATTGAATAACTTGTGCAAGATCACACCTCTGATGGGGCAGAACCAAGATCTGCTTGTCTCCAAAATCTGCTTATATCCTGCCTGAGAGACCTTGGGAATGAGAGCAAGTGCTTGTAGGAAGCAGGGCTGATGTCAAGGAGGCTGTGGGGGCAGGAGGCTGAGGGAACTCACTGAACCTTGAGAGGTCCTTAGGTGCGGGCTTCTGGGTTTCCTGTTGGCAGCTGGAGGGGGAGTGCCAGTTTCCATAAGTAGTTATTGCCCAGGTTGTGACCTGGGCTTGGCCACAGTGATTGGTTCCTTTTGGAATTTGATGAATGACCCCCAGGCAGGATTCTTACAATCACCCTGGAAGACCACCCAGGAAGTTCCTGTGGGGTAAAATGATGCAGCAGACTGCTTTGCTCAGGAGGCCAGAAACCCTCCCCGAACACACACACACACACACACACACACACACACACACACACACACACACACACAC